GACAGTCTTGGGTCGATTCAGAAGTTCAACAAAGCCAATGCAATCGGATTCACTCAAGGGGCTTCAAGAATTTGGCTTGTTCTACAAAGCCCTGTTTAGCCTATGCAATTGATCCTTCCACACTATCACCTTCTTTGATCAGGAATCTTGGTGAATGTTTTTGCAAGATGGCTCTTGGGAATTTATCGAGTAAAGCTCTACAAGAGAAGAAGAAAGTTTCCACTCCTAAACAGAAGGCATTTAATGAAGAAAAAATACAAAAGGTTGGAGCTTCTTGTAAACCTAGCAAGTCTGGTCCTAGTGAAAAGCTTAATAAGAAAGATGCCAATGCAAATCCTAGTAAGAAGGAATCTACCAAGCGAAGAAGTTGTACTCCTATTCCATTTGTTTTGTCCAAATTATCTTTGATTTGTACTATTTTTGCCCAAGCAGAGTCCCTGGCCCCTTCATCTCAGCTGCTAAAATAATGTCTTGGCCTTGTTCGTTTCCTTTCATAATAGACTCCAAGTTCATCTCTTCTTGTGAGTTGTCCCTAGGGGCACAATTTATAGATTTTCACAAGAGTCTCCTGTAAACATGTTAAGCATTATTTTCCCAATGTTATATATTTTCAAAGCAAAGTTCTCTCCTTGAAAGTTCTTAGTTGGAATGTACATGATCTAAATTCTGAGAAAAAATGGGATGTTGTTAAAGATAAAATTTGTGAAAGTTCTTGTGATATCATCTGTCTTTAGGAAATTAAGAGAAACATTATTGATGGTACCTTCCTAAAAAACTTCTATCCTCCAAGAATTAGCAGCTTTGAATTCAGCCATCTAATGGAGCCTTGGGTGGAATGTTAGTTGCCTAGAATCCTACTATCTTTAATGGAGCCATGGTTTTCTACAATGATTATGCTATGTCAACAAAGTTTACCTCTCAGCACTCTTGGCACTCGTAGCTGCTAACTAATATCTATGCCCCTTGTACACATAATGGTAAAAGAGACTTCCTTTCTTGGTTCTAAAATATTGAAATGCCAGCAGAAAAAGAATGGTTAATAGTGAGAGATGTTAATCTTATAAGATATCCTCAAGACAAGAATAAACAGGGGGAGATGTTACTGAAATGCTCCTTTTTATGGCCTATTTGATGCAAGAGCTAATTGCTAGCTAGCTAAAAATTTGCTCTAGTGCATCCAAATAGGAGGGCTAATTTTTTAGCCAAGCCTTCAACTAGTTGTTAGCCAACCTTAGCTAATTTGACCTTATTTTTATCCTAGTTAGCAACTAGCTCTAGCTCATCTAAACTGACCCTTAATGAAGCCATCAACTTATCACTGGGTTTAGTGAAACTTCCTTTGTTCAAGAAAAAATTTACTTGGAAAAATAAGCAACACCCTCCTTTATTATATAGATTGGATTGTTTTTCCCCTCCAATTCTTGGTCCCTCTCCTTCGCAAACATGCAAGTTTGACCTTTATTGATGGAGACCTCAGATCATGTCCCATGTGTTGTTGATATTTCAAATGACACCTCTAACGGTAGAATTTTTAGGTTTGAAAACTATTGGATGACACATGATCGGTTCATGCTTGTGGCACAATATAGACAATTCCTTGTCAACAACTTGATTAGGCAAAAAAATTACAGCAAAATTCAAGGACGTGAGAAGAACCTTGAGAACCTGGCAGGCCCAATTCTCAAACTTATCTGCAAACATTATGATGATCCTTTGTATTCTAGAGAACTGCTTTAGGAATTCAGAGATCTCTCCCTAATGGAGTGGAACTTCAAAATTGCTCTAGATGACAAATTGCTTACTCTTCTACGTCAACAACAGATTTATTGGAGACAATGGGGGTTGATTAAATGGGTAAAATTTGGAGATGCTCCAACCAAATTCTTTCAAGCTGATGCAATAGTAAGGTACAAGAAAAAGTTGATTACATCCCTATCCAACTCTGCTAGCTAGGAATTTACTAAACATCATAGTAAAGAAGCTCTTCTTTGGGAAGCCCACAAAGATAGATTGGGTGCATCCAATTTTTCCAATATGCAATTAAACCTTCATGAATTACTCCCTCAGCCATTTGATCTCTCATCTTTGAAACAACACATCACAAAGGAGGAAATTATTGCAGTCATCCTCTTTGAAACAACCTCTAGCTAGATGGTTTCAATAATGAGTTCTTGAAGGAATGTTGTGGTTTTATATCTCAAGACTTCTATAGCTTGATAGATGTTTTTTATAGTGAGCAACGACTCTGTCTCCAAAGGATAAATGGATCTTTTATAACTTTAACCCAAAAAGGATACTACAACCACACTTAATGATTATAGACCCATTTCACTTCATAATTGCTCTTGGAAGGTAATCACAAAGCTGGTGGCTAATAGGCTTCAGGGGATTATTATGCATCTTATCCATTAGAATCAAGATGGTTTCATAAAGTCAAGGACAATTCAAGATTGTTTGGCTTGGACATTAGAATACCTCCACCTTTGTCATCATTCCAGAAGAGAGCTGATCATCTTAAAGCTTGATTTTGAGAAAGATTTTGACAAAGATGAAGATGAGGGTATGTTCCAATTAATTCATGCCAAAGGTTTTGGAGCAAAATGGTCAGACTGAACAAAAGCTATGGGTACTAGGGAAAAGTTTCACTGTCAAAGAGGGGCTAGGCAAGGGGGCCATTATCATTCCTACGTTTTGTATTGGTTGCTGATTTGCTTTAGTTAGTACTCAACAGGGCCACTTCACACACACATGTGCGTGCACACGTGCACGCGCACGCATGCACCCGCGCATACACACAACACATACACCCACAAAACACACACACACACACACACACACACACACACACACACACACACACACACACACACACAACACGAACGCATGTGCACAAACACGCACTAGCACACACATGCACACACTCCGCACACAATCATCAGTAAGAATAGAAGATTCACGCAACAATGTTATACATATGTAAGCATAATCAGATTGTAAACATTGTAAAGAAGCAACCCATCAAAGATGAGTTAGAGAGGCCACCAGAAGAGGCTGGAGACCAAGGGAATACCCTAGGCCCAACCCAACAAGGATACCAGTAATTTATTAAAAAAACTATCCAATCCGCAAATGCAAGTTTTGTCATGGCTGTCCAACTCCTCTCAGCAGAGGTGCGAGTGTGCCACCCCGCCATCCCTTCTGTGCCTGAGTCATGTCCGCATCATGAATCTTCGTCTCTAGTTCTTCGCCTTCGCAATCCGCATAGCACGAGTCCATTGTCCCCCGCCCACAACCAGCGGCTGATAGACTAGCACACCTAGTGAGCTGCTTGTTCCCCTCCATTCTCTTCCTCCTTGCAAGTTCCCCTAAATCCCTAACCCTAACTTCCCTCACTCTAATCTAATTTGATTTGGCAAGCCATTGTGAAGGGGCGTCAACGCTGTCTTTCTTGTCTCCTCCTCTGGCTCGCCATGGCAACAAGCTTTGGCCTAGGGTATGAAGATGACATAATCCAAGACTTTCATTGTTGTTAGAGTGCATATGTGTAAAAAGTAGGCTTGTAATCTTATTTGGTTTGTAAGCTTCTTTCATGCATATTTGAAACTATTATTACATTGTTTGAACTATTTGTATTGATTTAAGACTTATTGTGCTATTTAGGACTTATTGTGGGACAATTTTATAGTACTTTACCAAATTATTACTAAATGGATTTACTGAATTGCATATGAAAATTTTGGTTCGTCATATCCCATGAAAAAATTCCTAGGTTCGCCACTAGCCGATACCAATGTGGTACAATCTTCTCACCCCATTGGCCAGTCCTACTTTTAGCCGCACTCACCATACCATTTTGCTTGGACCTTCTACTCAACAGGTCTACAAATGTCGAGATCTCGAATGTCACATTCTTGATAGGTATAATAATAATCATCAATATTCATATTTTCAAGACTATAAATGTCAAGAACTATAATTTCTAGCGTCTTTGTGTAGTGTAGAACAGTCCAACAGAGACCTCAGATAGTCCAACTTTGCTGTGCCATTTTAGTTCTAGTCGTGCACTCACGGGTAGTCTCGCTAGACACAATGGGCAGTCTGCTAAAATATGAACATGCTGATTTTGAGCTATCAAGCAGCCCTCCCACTTGGCCCCACATGTCATGCGAGGTGGTACCACGACGACCACCATGAGCCCCAAGACAACCCCAGCCCTACCTCTCACTCTCCCACTATCTTGCGACCCACTCTTCCTCTAGTTCATTCTCCCACAAGAACTTAATTAAAAATATCAAGAACCCTAACCAAGGAAGGAGGAAAGGAGAAAGGAAGGATGAGGAAGCTAGAGGAGTCCAAGGTTAACCCTCACCACCAGCTCCACCACCACCATGGCTAGGGATTAGCTGGAAGAGCTCAATCTCCGTTGCGTTTTTTGTAGGGACAAGGAGGAGGTGAAGGAGGAGCATGAAGGCCATCCAGCCCGGCCTGAAGATGAATGCTCCTGGCAATCTCTTGGCCTGGTTGCAGTTGGTTGTGGCTAGCTGCGCTCGGCTGGGATACGCTGGTGGCTGGCTAGGAAGAGCTGCAAGTAGAATTGTGTAAACTTTTTTTTTTGTTTTTGTTTTTAGGAACTAACTACCGGTAAGTGCCAGAGGAAGACAAAAAATTTTCTGTCTAATTAGTTTGATCACTTGGAATAATCAATGATTTGGCAAGTAGTTTTTTAGAAGTTCTTGGAGATGCTCTAAGATATTATTAGAAAGTTATAGAAATTTAGTAAACTATAGGATGCTCCTTCACGGTTTTCACCATGATGTTTATATATATTATTATTATTATAAAAAAAAAGTTACATTATTACACACATTACACTTATAATACTAGAGAAGATTAATGACGTAAATATTTTGTGGAAAAAAATATAGTTTTATCAGCAAAACGATAAAGCACAGTAAACTGTAGGATACGTAAAACAGGACGTTTTCTAATTGACTTGCTTATTATAAGAGGGATATGAATTCGACGGCCACCGTCACCGCGTTCTGGGCCGCCAGTGGCGCGAACACTCCCGCTTCGTTAGACTCTGCCGTGCCACCGCCGGCTAGGTCAGAGAGCGCCCTTATTGCGATGAACGGCGCCCCCTGCTGCAGCGCCACAAGCGCGACGGCGGCCGTCTCCATGTCAATTGCCGTGACGCCGAACCTGGACCTCAGGAACTCCCGGTACGCGGCGTTGTCCACGAACACGCTGGCGCTGCACCCGCGCTCCACCATGGCAACCACCGGCCGCCGCGGCAGGCACGTCGTCGTGCCGTTGTTGACGCAGCCTTCAAGCTTGAGCCCCTCCAGCTTCCGCGAGATCATGTCGTAGTAGTAGCCATCGACGGGGACCCAGAACTCGTGTCCGCGGACCTCGGGCGTGCCGTTCTCTGGGAACACCTCCTCCGGCTGGTACCACACGCTGTTGAGCAGGTTGCCGCCGTCGGAGCGGGCGTTCTTGTCGACACTGAAGTCTGTGAAGTTGAGGTTGCCGAGTTTCCTGGTGTAGTCACCGTTGGATTCCAAGGCGAGCTCCTTGTCCGGTCCATCGCCGTAGCGCTGTCGAAGAAAGGAGGTGATGTGTAACCATAAAATTATATTGTTCTCTATATACGTGCACATTTATTTTCACGATAACTAGTATAGTACAGTTATTTGTGCATATAATTTGTGTACCTGCCAGTTCCAAAGGCCGGTGTGAGCCCAGTACCGTGGCACGGCGACATCGCCAATCTGTCGGTTAGGGTCAGCGTTCCCGGCGATGCCGAAGTGCACGATTCCCTTCACGTCGAAGAGCGCGAGGAGGAGTTGGGTGGTCACCCCGGAGTTGAGCTGCAGGGAGCAGTTTGGCATAGCCACAACATATGTATCAGATCAGATCACAGAATGATATGGATACATCCTTATATGTATGACCGAGAATACGTTTTGATTTAATCATAATGAGAGGTTGAATATTTCAATCCACTGATATTTACCATGGCAAGGCCTGTCATGACAATGACAACCTTCTGCTCGCCGATGATGCCAAAGCGAAATCTTCTCCCTTGAGACAAAGACAAGTCCTACTTAGTTATGTGCTCAGGTCATCATCAATTGATTTATTACACGTGTCAGGACATAATAACATGATCGATAGAGCTATATATGGAGACGATGATGGATAATGTAGCTTATGAACAAGTTGAATGAACGCACGTGAACGTTTATATGTTTGTCCAAGAAGCTCACGACCGTGCCTTGTTGGTCAATAGAGACCATACGTGGTGGATAGAAACGTGCAAAAGGGGCACACCGTGTGTAATTTGCGACGATCGACCTCTCGACTGTAAGTTGGACGAGATTGGAGCTCTGTTGCTTGTCTGCCGCATGAAGAGACTGATAGATCGATCGACGAATGAAGTTTCCTACATATGCGATTGACGTACAGATAGGCACGACGAAGATCGTCGTAATCAACTGCACGAGCCCACGAGTTTCTAGGTCGAGACTAGTCCAGTAAGAGCTGTGTCCACGCGCAAATGTGATTGAACGCATGCATCCCCGTAGTTCCCAGCATGCAGTCCCGGCGGCACACTTGTCGTACACGGCCGGTGTTCCTACGACACAATGGGCGCATGAGTTCTAGTAGGATACAGTTTTGGTCAAATTTCAGTTTTATACAACTCTCACTAACACGGTTGACATTATATATATTCTCTTGACGGGTCAAATATCACTCGTGGCGGCCGCGGCGCAAAAAATACGAATAGTAGTCACAATCCTGTGGCTGGAGACCTGCAGTAGGTAACACAACTACACAAAACGAATAGTAGTAGTACATCGGTTATCCGACGACGTGGACAGACAGAGCGGTCAGTAGCTTCGCTTAGCATCATGATTCGTATCAGTCTACATGTGTGGGAGCGGATTGGAGTGGAACTTGAACTAAATTTCACATCAATCCACCTCAATACATGTGGATCAAAATGAATACGATAACATCCAAACAAGGCCTAACGTGGACATGCGCCGGCAAGGAAAAAGCTGTATATATACCCTCCTACCTGATGGACGAAGAACACTGTGTTCATTTCTTAATTAATTAATTAATTATATAATACAACATGTATGTATAGAGAACTATATATATTGTTATAGGAGTGTGCCTTGTTCGCTCTGATTTGTTGTGAGAAAAATACTGTTCGTTCGTTGAAATAGTACGGCTCATAAGACAATTGAACATGACCTATATGTTTATTTATGTTGTATCTATAGTTCCATTATTTGCTCCAATTGTATGCCGGCACTCTCAAAATATATGGACATGTTACCTCGTCCCACACGCGGTGCAAAATAAAGTACAAAATAGAGGCACCCATATCGTATATCGATAGGTTCCGGGAAAGATGCAAATTAATGTATAGCTTCTTTTATTTTGAATATAAAGATTGGATCCCAATGGTTGACTAGGCAACATACATATAGTAATCGTCCTCTTGATCATCTGGGATCTCAAGGTATTACCACCGGTAAAAACGTAGACAATCATTTTTCAGATAAAAATAAAAACCAATCAACTCCCAGGATCCACGAAAGAAAAATGGAAGTAATGCTAATAAATCTGATGTGTTCATGTAGTGCGTACCTGCGACGTCGAGGTACGGAGGCAGGCCTTTCGCCGGCGAGAAACTGGGTGACCGGAGCAGGGGCTCCATCTCGAAGGCGTTGGGCACGACGACGCCGAGGAACGGCCCACACCGGTTTACCATCTGGATGGACCTCGCCGTGCTCTCCTGGACGGCAGCACGGACGACGACGCCGGTGGAGCAACACACCGCGAGCAGCGGCAGCAGCAGCTTTAGATGCAGCGAGGTGCCGGGAAACAGGCGGCGCATGCCCAACATGGCCGGTGAAGTGTTTTCGAGGCTTCGGTTTGGGATGGAAGTATGGAACAGGTAAGACAGAGGCAGCAGTGGGTTATATAGCCATGCAGGGTTGAAGAGTCATGAATATAATCTTTCTTTCTACCATGTTGAAATCTCCTTCTCCTATAACTAAAAAGAACAAAGCGTGGACACTTTTTGGTGCGAGATTTTTCCTTTAGTCGTCGTCTCGCCTCCTGCGATCCCGCGAGCCTCGCTCCCATCTGCCCCCAGCTCCCTTGCGACAAAAATCAAAAGGAAACAAACCTCACTCGGTAGGAAAGAAACCTCGCTCCCATCCGCAGCTGGGTGCGCCGCCGCCGCCTCAAGAGCCCGCCCGGCCTGCCTGCGGATGGTGCTAGCCAGTGTCGACGACGAGGAGGCACGGTGGACGGGCCGCCGCGGCGTGCGCCGGCGTCTACCGCTGCTGGAGGGCCGCCGTGAATGAGATCGTGCGCGTCCCAGAGGCGTCAGGGAAATTCACCTTCCCCATCTCTCTCAAGTAGGTTAGTTTGGATCCCCCCACAAACTCTGAATCTATTCTGTGTTTGATGGTCAACCTTGGTGTTTTGTAAAAAGTTTCTGTATCACCGGATTTTTTTTCTTTTCACCTTGAGTAGTCATTGCCAGTGATGGTCTTGGCCATACTGCATTCATCATTTGTTAGGGTCAAAACCTCCATGTGTCCAGTTTGCGTGTGTAACCCTTCGTCGTCACTGGAAGACATCAGGCAGAATTCCGTTGTTGGTACTACTTTTTTTAGATAAAGGATAGTTTATATTCGGCTTCATCTACGCTAGGGTAGAATCAGACTAATTATTAAAAAGTTTGGGCCGACGGCCGACGCACAAGAACCAAAACGAGTCTACAACCAGACTCGAGGATAACAAAGCGTGAAGCAGATCCTGACTACTATAGACCAATAAACCTAGATGACAACCACCCATTGAAACTAAAAAAATGCAATGCCGACGTCTCCAAATGCTGTCCAGCAAGGGTCAATTGGTCTCGAAGATCATCATGCCGCTGCAGTCTTGCCCATTGCCTTAGCCAATGGGTTCCCCTGAATAATACCTGCAAAAAAGTTTTTGGTCTACACTTGTCAAAAACCACTTCATTTCTTGTTATCCAAATTGTCCAACATAAGGCTGATGCTGCTGTTAATAATAACAAATTATGTATGTTACCACCTGCTTTAGACCAATTAACAAATAAATCGTCTATGCTATGGGGGTGATATCCCAAACATTAAGTGTACAGCGCGCCATAGGAATTTGGCATAATAACATTAAAAAAAGAGGTGTTGAATGGTTTCTGGGCAGTGACAGAAGCAGGATCTTTTATCATCATTCCAATTACGATGGGCAAGGTTGTCCTTGGTTAAAATGACACCTCTTTTTAGATACCACAAGAATATTTTAATTCTTGTAGGAATTTTGATCTGTCATAAATCTTGTGACACTCTACCCCATTGTTAATTAACGCAGCATACAAAGATTTAATAGAAAAGGTACCTGATGAATGCAATGTCCAAATAAAAACATCTCTTTCTTCTTGTAAGTTCACATCTTGTAGAGATGCAACGATTCTATGCCAGTCCCTCAAGTTCCGACCCGCTAGATTGCGGGTAAAGGAAATGTTCAGCAGGACTGATGCAAGTACTTTTGCCACGGAATCTTGCTTTCTTCTTACAATGTTGAACAACGCGGGAAATTTATCTTTGAGAGGTTGACTACCCAACCAAGTGTCCATCCAAAAACGAGTCTGTGACCCGTCTTTTACTTTGAATGAACCAAAACTCATGAAAATGTCTTTGACATTCATTAGACCTTTCCAAAAATGAGAATCTATTGGTCTTTTTGTACAGCCCCCTAAAGTCTTGTCTTTTAAGTATTTATTTCTCAATAGCTCTTGCCACAAGCCATCCTCATTTAAAAGTTTGAAAAGCCACTTACTCAACAAACATTTGTTTTGTAACTCCAAATTATGAATACCTAGGCCACCTTGTAATTTTGGTTGGCACAAGATTTTCCATTTGGCCAATCTATATTTGCGCTTGTGTTGTTCGCTTTACCAGTAGAATCTTGATCTAAAGCAGTCGATGTTCTCCAAAACTCCTTTTGGGATTTCGAAGAATGACATCATAAACATCGGTAATCTAGAGAGCACCAAGTTTATTAGGACCAAGCGGCCTCCTACCGAAAGCATCTTTCCTTTCCACCCACTAAGCTTGTTTTCAATTCTATTTTCTATTACCCTCCCATCTTTATTACTCAATTTCCTAGTGTGCATAGGCAAACCCAGATAGCGAAAGGGATATTTTCCCAATCCATATCCAAACAACTGCGAATAAAACACCTCATGATCCCTTGCTTTACCAAAACAAAAGATTTCGCTCTTGTGAAAATTAATTTTGAGCCCCGATAGTTGTTCAAAAGTGCTTAGAATTAATTTGATATTAACCGTCTTCTGAACATCGTGACTCATAAAAATCACAGTGTCATCCGCATACTGTAGGATAGACAACCCATCTTGGATAAGATGGGGAATGACTCCTACCTGACCTGCTTCCTTAGCTCTAGCAATTTGTATGGCCAGCATGTCCACCACTATATTAAATAGTAATGGAGACATTGGGTCATCTTGCCTTAATCCTTTTTTTGTTTGGAAGTATGAGCCAAGCTGGTCATTCACTTTAATGTTTACATTTTCTCCCTGTGTAAACTGTTGCATCCACAAACACCACTTATGCGAGAAGCCCTTCATCCTTAAAGTTTGTTGTAGGAAGTCCCATTTTACTTTGTCATAAGCCTTTTCAAAATCTATGTTAAAGATTATCCCGTCTTGTTTTTTCGAGTGAAGTTCATGGATTGTCTCATGAAGTATCACTGCGCCCTCCATAATGTTTCTTCCTGGAAGAAAGGCCGTTTGTGTTGGTCTAATAATCTTCTGGGCAACAGTAGATAGTCTATTTATCGCAACTTTGGTAAAGATCTTGAAAGAAATATTTAACAAACATATAGGTCTGTATTGTTGAATGACTTTTGCATCTTTCTTTTTTGGTAATAAAATTATAGTTCCAAAGTTGAGACTATGCAAAGGCAAGTTCCCCTCATGAAATTCCATAAACAGAGCCATCAGATCTTCTTTTACCATGTCCCAGAAGACCTGATAAAACTCTGGTGGAAAACCATCTGGGTCCGGTGCCTTATTATGTTCCATCTAAAAAATTGCTGCCCTGACCTCAAACTCTGTGAATACATCAGTCAGGTACTTATTTTTCAGTTCAGATACTTGTGGAATATCCTAAACAAGGTGTTCATCTAATTTCATATTAGAGTTATCTGGTGGGCCAAACATGTTTTTATAATAGTTGGTAATATGCTGCTTTAATTGAGCATCACCATCTATTATAGTGTCACTATCCTCCAATTGGAAAATACGAGTTTTTCAGTGCCTACCATTAGCCAACAAATAAAAATATTTAGTATTAGCATCCCCTTCCAGTAGGTGCTTAACCTTTGCCCTTTGGTACTATTTAACTTCCTCCTCTCTAAGTAATTCAGCGAGTCTCTCACTTAGCACATGTTTCAAATTTAACTCCGTCTCATTCAGCAGGAGGTTCTCTGCCTTCTTATCTAGCTCATCGAGTTTGTCTAGCAGTTCCTTCTTTTCTTTCTTATAAGTGCCACTCACATTTTTCGCCCAGCCTCTGAGGTATTGGCGAAGTCTCCTGATCTTTGCTTACCACCTCTCTAAGGGACTACCGTCAACCAGAACACTATGCCACACATCTCGCACCATGTCACAAAATCCATCTCTAAGCAACCATCTCAGTTCAAACTTGAACTGGGGTTGGTAAGTCTGAGATGGGCTATTTGTACTACATAAGAGTGGAGTGTGATCAGAGATCTCTCTATTTAAAGCATGGACGGTTGTAAGCGAATATTTGGATTCAAATTCCGTACAAACTAGAATCCTATCCAACTTCTCAAAGGTCTGATTTTACAGGTGATTAGCCCAAGTAAATTTTCTTCCTGCCATCTCCAACTCTCTAAGACTTAACGTGTCAATAACAACATTAAAAAGAAAAGGCCATCTGTCGTTGTAGTTTTCATTATTTTTCTCATCTGGGATGCGAATAATGTTGAAATCACCACCTATGATAATAGGTACGGTCTCTTTTGAACATACTCTAACCAACTCAGATAAGAAATGTGATTTGAGATCTAACTGAGCTGGGCCATATACTGAGATTAAATTAAACTTGAAGTCATCCTCCTTATGTTGTAATTTGAACCGAATAAAAAAATCTCCTTCTATCTGGCCAATGTCAAAAGTTAAAGGATTTATTCCTAGAATCATACCACCGGACCGACCCCTCGGAGCCATGCAATGCCATAGAAAATCTCTGCCCGCGCAGATATTATTCAAGGTCGATTGCGGAAAGTTGGCTCTCTCGGTCTCCGATAATGCAATAAAATCTAAGTCCTTTTCTTTTGTCAAGTCGGATAGGAACCTATATTTTTTTGTATCAGCAAACCCTTTGCAATTCCAAAAAATTCCTTTCATCTAGAATGGTGTCTAATTTTTTTCTTATTAAGCTTGGAACTAGATTTTTTGGAATGTGATATAGGGGTCTGTAGACACAAAGGGTCACAACCCCATCACCTAGGTCTTCAGAAATTTCTACACAAATTAAATTTAAAGCCTCTAGGTCCATGTTTTCTTCTAAGGAACAAACAGTGGAAGTATCGTCCAACATAGCTTTACTTTTTTCCTCTAAACTATTGTTTGCTGACATTCTAGCAAATTCAATATCTCTTAAACTTTTCAAAGAAAGAGACACTTCTTGTTCATTAGAGCCAAGAGAGATTCCTAACGAGCTAGTTGTATGCAGCAACATAGAATCATCGAGAATATCAAAAGAGTGTGGCAAAGTCTCATTACCTTTGACTGAAGATGCATTCAAGTTTTTGCGT